TGAGTTGAAAAACGAAACTAACCCCGACATTCAATTGATTATTCCACTCATTTCGAACTACACGATTTCGTTTGGGTTCAAATAGGTATCTGATAAGCAAGATCATTATGATTCCGATTTTGCATTTCAGCAGTTGGAACCAAATACTTATATGATGTGTTTTCGACTTTGTTTTTTTCTTCCTTATTGGTACTTTGATCAAATATAAAACAGCATAGGCTGTCATGGATGTCAGGATATTTTTATTTTCAGGAACTCAACAAAAATTGGTGATAGAAGTTTGTAGTAAGGCTGTGCGATATTGAAAATCAGATATCGATATTCATCGATATATGGACATATCGATATATATCAATACATATCGATTTTGATCGAAACATATCGATACATATCGGTTTCGATCGATACATATCTATACATATAAAATGTTCAAATATATCGATACATAATATAATATGTTCAAATATATCGATACATAATATAATATGTTCAAATATATCGATACATAATATAATAAAATCATATATATCGATTACCGATGTAAAGAATAACGAAACTTCAGTGTTGATGTGCTCAACATAATAAAACATTTACCTCAAATATCATAATCAAGGATGGAAGTCTAACGTTACACTTCAAGCTCGACTTTGAGTTTTATAGGGTGTGTGCCATAGTATGTTTTTCTCTTTCTCCTTTAATTTTTGTTATTTCCTAGTTGACTTTGATTGAAAGAAAGAACTCGTCTGTTCCTTTTGGGATTAGATTAGTACTGTATGATATTGAAAACTGGATAAAGATATCGATGTATCGATATATCCATATTGATCGATATATCAATATGTATCGATATATTGTTATATATCGATATATCGATATGTTTCGAACTATCGAGATGTATCGATATATTGTCACAACAAAAGAGTTCTTTGTTTTTAAAAATGAATTAATTATTTTCCACTCAGTTTTTGTATGGGTACAGATGGTTTCAGCATGCCTATCTGTGTGCACTACCAGGAACGCCCTATTTGAAGATCAAACCGAGGCAGTCCAGTTTTAGCATGCTGGACCGTTCGCAAATCCTGGCCAGATGCCCCATATAATAACACATTTTTATATTCACTACTTAAAATAATGAAAACTGTCTTACTAAAATATTTGTTTGACTTCAATGAAGAAAATGATATAATTAAAAAACAAAAGAACATGAGATCTCGATTGATTGATTGATTTAATAGTTTGCGAAAGGTATTATTCGAATAGACACTAATATTTTAGGGGTAACTGAAAGTACGATACTATATTCAAACATAACAGTATTTAATGAAGCATGAAACATTATGGGTAGCGATGACAATTATGAATGAACAACAATGAATATAAAGACCTAATAAGAACTTACATTATAGAGACCATAACGACGAGCTCTTGTCAAGTCAAGAGTAGCCCCAGACCAGACCAACTTCGGAACCCTCACATCCAATATTTATATACAACATTTTATAAGATATGCAAGTATTCCATGAAAGTTCCTTGGTCAGTTTTTATAATTCAATGTCAACGGATGATTTGATTTACTTTATGTTTATAAAACCCCTTATGGTTCGAAATTACTGATATAGCGTATGTTCTACTCGTGACAATATATCGATATATCGATATTTTTACCGAGCCCTAGTTTGTATAATCGGCATTTGGAACACTTTTAATATCAACCTGATAAACTCATGAGTGAATTGCAAACCTCCCAACCATAACATGAATTCAAACCTGGCAATTCTTGGCTCATTTAACAGTCAAGAGAAGAGTGATATTATTCATAACGCAACGACTGCGCATATTAAAATACAAGATAAGATTATTGTTTTCTCCATAAAATTATGAGTAAAATAGTCTCAACAAACACAGTTCGTTCAATTGATAATTATCGGAAATTTTTCATCCATTCCTAAATAAATTATGTTGCTCAAGGAATCCACACTCACGCTATGCGCTCGTGTGGTTTCCAAGCAACATAACTTGTTTCTTATGATCGAAGATATTGTGTATTTTGATAAACATCAATACACTTGTTGTAATACAAACGGCAATATTATACCTTGAATTTTCCACTTATCGAGGATCTGTATTTTGTATTGTTACCATAGCAAATGAACAAATTTCCAGAAATACTCTTCTCCTACTTGGAGAAAGAGCATGAAATTACATTGTACATACGTGTAGTAAGTACAAATCAGAATATTTGCCCCAGAATGTCACTGCGTTTAAATAATTCACCTATCAGAGAGTCTACAAGAAAAATTCACTAGCTTACCAGTGACAATTTGGATTGAAAAAGCTTTGGAGAAGAGAAATAAAGATATAAAAAAAAATCAAATCTTCACTTATTTGGACGTTTGGGAAATGGATCTGCTTCTGTGTTCGACATTAAAAATGAATTTTTGTATGGCAAATTCGTATTTGTCTTGACACCTCTCACTTATCAGTGACAACTGGTGAGGTTGACAATCAAATGAGTGACAGGATTTTTTCATTAAGATTAATTGGTGAGAACATCCTGTTACTCATTTGATTGCCAACGTCACCAATTGTCACAAAGAAGTGTCAAAACAAATACGGATTTTCCATACAAAAATCTAATTTTTTTGTTGAAAACGGGAGCAGATTCGTTCCCGAAACGTCCAAAGTGAAAATTTGATATCTTTCTATATACCTTTATTTCTCTTCTCCAAACCTTTTCCAATACGAATTGTCACTGACAAGCTATTGAATCTTCCTTTCAGGCTCTCTGATAGAAAAATTCTTCAAACGCAGTGACATTCTGGGAAAAATCATCTAATTTGTCCTTACAACTCGTATATGGAAACGATATTAATATTTTTATTTTATAGAGACGATGACAGAAAATCCCAAAAAATCTGAAATAATGGATGTACCACCTCCTCGATTACCCTACAGACAGTATTGAGATCAATCGTATTCAATTCCTCCTAACATTGTTGTGAATGTGAATTTCATCAACAAACTTCAATGAAATGAAGTTAGTCAAGAATTATTGCTGCTATTCTGCCGATCGACCACCTATGTAACTCAAATATTTATGTGAGGTATGTAAGATACATACTCTGTAACAGACATATTCACATATTATTCTGTTGATTTAACACAGAATGGTATTCTGCCAAACACCCAACCCCGTGTCGGAATTTACGTCTGTCCTCTTGATCAATATTGATAGATGGCTAACTTCATAGCTACTCATTAACCTCACATTTCAGGGTTGGTTTTGATAGATTCAAAAGAAAATGGATATTTCAGAATGGTAATTATCTATATCAATTGTATCATTGACTAATTGTAATTTTTCATGGTTATATAATAATTCTTGAATTCGACTGATACTATTATTAATAAGTGAAAATTTCCATTTTTTATACCTTCCAGCTTCTTCTAGAACGATGGATCCAAACATATATGAAGATTTCATATAACATCCATATTATTATCTACATGGGTAATTTAACAATTACAGTGAGAAAATTGGGTCCATAGGCATGTTACATACTATGTCATGTCATTTTATAGAAATATATCAAAATTGCACTGTCAGAATACCGATTTCCTTACATTCTATAAATATGGAATCATACATAGCCTACAGAGTCTGTACTGGTGTGCAGAATTGCAGCATATGATTTGAGTTATCGCCAGTTGTCTCATTGAAATTCGACTCAAGTCGGTATTTTGACCTGACATTTTGACATTCTGGGAAAAATCATCTGATTTGTCCTTACAACTCGTATATTGAAACGATATTGATATTTTCATTTTATAGAGGCGAAGAGAGAAAATTCCAAAAAATCAGAAAAAATGAATGTACCACCTCCTCGATTACCCTACAGACAGTATTGAGATCAATCGTATTCAATTCCTCCTAACATTGTTGTGAATGTGAATTTCATCAACAAACTTCAATGAAATGAAGTTAGTCAAGAATGATTTGAGTAATCGCCAGTTGTCTCATTGAAATTCGACTCAAGTCGGTATTTTGACCTGACATTTTGACATTCTGAGAAGAATCATCTGATTTGTCCTTACAACTCGTATATTGAAACGATATTGATATTTTCATTTTATAGAGACGAGGAGAGAAAATCCCAAAAAATCTGAAATAATGAATGTACCACCTCCTCGATTACCCTACGGACAGTATTGAGATCAATCGTATTCAATTCCTCCTAACATTGTTGTGGATGTGGATTTCATCAACAAACTTTAATGAAATGAAGTTAGTCAAGAATTATGATTTGAGTTATCGCCAGTTGTCTCATTGATATTCGACTCAAGTCGGTATTTTGACCTAGTACCGTACATTTGTTTTTCCAATACGGATATTTTGAATATTTTCTCTCGTCTGCGTGTCTAATTTTCAGAATATTTGTGTTGCCGAAAGAATGTTTGATAATGATTGGAACTCTCGTGGTACTGGTACTGGTACTGGTACTGGTGGGGGACGTTTCCACGTCAGCAACTAGTCCCCAATGGGACCTTTTTGCAAACCCCAAGTGTTTTCAATGAATGATGTGGTTCGCTCAAGAGAGCTGGCTAACATCCTTTTCAGGCACCGCCCATCAGCTCTCTTTTCAGAGTTTTTCAGCTGTGTTTTGTAGGCAAGTAATGTACTTACTACCATATGCGCAGTGGCAGGCCTGCTAACTATCATCGTTAACCCCCGAGACCGAGGTCTACTTAAGCAGCTGGCCCGCTCTCACGCTCAGCTGGTAGTTTTTCCACACCCACCTACATACACCGTCCTACTTCTTCGATGATGCTCACAACCACATCATCATATCTTTCTGCGTATTCTGCGTAGGCTTTGTTACTAACTCCATACGCCACTTTAGGAGCAGCACTGTGAATTGGAGCGCAACAGCGGAACTCTCGTGGTATTTAGAGTGAAAATTCGAGTGTAATCTACTAAACTCACTCTATTATTGTTACAGCATCAGACCCAATTGAACGGCGAGGCCAGACTCTTGCAATCGACTTCATCGAACGGCGGCATGCCTAATCCCAATTCCAGCCAGAACGTCCTGCGGGCCCGTCGCGGCGTCATCAAGATGCTCATCGTCGTCGTTTGCGCCTTTGCGGTCTGCAATCTGCCCTTTCATGCGCGCAAAATGTGGCAATACTGGTCATCCAATTACCACGGAGACACCAATTTCAGCGCCCTGCTCACCCCGCTCACTTTCCTCTGCACCTACTTCAACTCGGGGGTCAATCCGCTGCTCTACGCGTTTCTCTCCAAGAATTTCAGGAGGTAAGGGAAAATTATCTACTTATTAGTATCTTATCACACTCGTATACAGTCTTTTTTCTTTGGAGGTTGCTCAGGCAAAAACTCGTAACGTGTTTATTCGTGGCAATACTCCCGAGATATACAGGGTGTTTCAAAAAAACCTAACCCCCTTGCTAGGGTAGGTAGAACATTGCAAAATAAGTTGGGTTTGCTCAGTGAAAAAATGTCGTAACGCCATCCGTTTTCAAGATACAAGGTGTTGAAACAATATTTTTATTACACATTCAATTGTTACGATTATGTTGAAACTATACTGGCAACATTGTGATGAAATTTTGTATGGATGTTTCTTGGAATCTGACACATCGCATGCATTTGTTTTTATATCTGACTCTCATAAAGGGCGCTAGTTACACGGTTCGTACCGAGTAGTTTTGAACATAACTTTTTTGAGGTTAGATTTTTCAATCCAAACTTGATGTGAACTTGAACATCATTCAATTTTACACCAGAAAGGTACTCTTGGTATAACTCGATACTGTGTTCCGTTTTCGGAGTATTTCGATTTGAAAATGATGAAGTGGTAACTGTTGCTGGTATGAAGCTATGTATTAGAGTGAGTATTATGAAAAATTATTACCTATTTATTGAAAACCGAAAACAACAATACATTTCTGATGCTAAACTTATTGATTCAACAATGAATCACAAAGATTTGACTAAGAACATGGATTACACAGTATTGTTGTATCTTGAGCAGAAAGTCTATGCTACATAGGTAAATTCACGTCAAGAGTTGTGAGACATAATTGAACATCACTCAAATGACCTAACAGCTGATCCTCACCTTTTCATAAGAATAATACATTCTTTAAAAAACAATATAGAATCGTTTATTCCTCGAAACGTAGGACATTTTGAACACTTACTCTAACTGATTCAATATTTCATGTTTCTAGTCAAATATCTCAATTTTCTACTCATGATCCTTTGTTCCATCAATAACTTCAGCATAAATTAATTTTATCGTATTTGAACCTGAATAAATAGGTAATTGAACTCAATAAAATTCATTTTATACCAGCACCATTATTTTCAAATCGAAATATTCCGAAAACGGAACATAGTATCGAGTTTTACCAGGAGAACCTTTTTTGTGTAAAATTGAATGATGTTCAAGTTCATATCATATTTGGATTGAAAAATCTAACCTCAAAAAAGTTATGTTCAAAACTACTCGGTTCGAACCGTGTAACTAGCGCCCTCTATGAGAGTCAGATATAAAAACAAAAACATGCGATGTGTCAGATTTCTAGAAACATCCATACAAAATTCCATTACAATGTTGCCAGTAGTTTCGGAAAAATCGTTACAAATGTCCAAAAAAATAATTTTTTCAACACCTTGTATCATGAAAACGGATGCCGTTACGACATTTTTTCACTGAGCAAACCCAACTTATTTTGCAATGTTCTACGTACCCTAGCAAGGGGGTTAGGATTTTTTGAAACACCCTGTATATATGATTTGATCTACGAACGCATATATTTGAGAGCTCCGTTTTTGAAATTATGCTTTGATGTATTACATCGTCTAAGGTATTTGAATCCAAACGAGAATCGATTTGACAGTTAACGGTTCTTTCACATTGGATTTGTATATTTTGTAATCATTTTATTTGAAGTCCCGATTGAATGAGTTTGAAATATGAGGAAGTGTATAAGATAATTGAGGTTAATTGTCAGCTTTCAAAAACTCCATTATAATACCACTTCATAAAAAGGGAGATAAAACAAAAGTTGGTAATTATAGACCCATATCATTATTAACACACCTATCAAAACTTATCGGGAAATTGATAAAGAAAAGGTTGACTACGTATCTTGTTTGGTTTCAAAGAAAACACGTCAACAGAGGATGCAATTCTGGCCCTAACTACAAAACTTAATAATGCTTTGAATGAGAACATGTCATGTCTATGCATTTTTATAGACCTATCCGAGGCGTTTGACACTGTGTGTCATGACCTACTTCTGCAAACATTAGAGGACATAGGCATCAGGAATGACAACCTGAAATTATTTGAAAGCTATATCACTAATAGACGGCAGATTGTGAAAATAGACGATGTACTCAGTCAGGAAGAATCTATTGAATATGGCGTGCCTCAAGGTAGTGTTCTGGGACCCCTGTTATTTAATATATATATATTGATGGTTCGTTCTCGTTAAAAAGCAGTGGCGATATAATTGGTTTTGCCGATGACACAGCAATAGTATACGCGGCTGAAAACTGGGACATATTACGAGATGAAGCTCAGGCAGACTTTTTACTAGTGAAGAACTGGCTTGAGCATAAACTACTAACGGTTTACTTGGGAAAGGCCAATAACCTATCAGTCAGTTGGAATAATGTGAGCAGACCGCAATTTGATAATCTTGAAATCGTTACTTCGCAAATTCAAACCTTCTCCATATTACCTGTAGAGAAAATCAAATACTTAGGTGTAATAATTGACAGCAATCTGAAATGGAATAACCACATTTTGCATGTCATCAAAAAACTACAGAGCATCCTTTATAAATTCAGATACCTAAAGAAAATTTTATCTTTCAAGCATATGAAGACACTATATTTTGCTTTAGTAGAAAGTCACATACGTTACGGTATGATAGGTTGAGGTGGGGCTCTACGAACGCACATCAAACCACTAGAGACCATTCAGAACAGATTCCTACGGTTAACTTCAAAAAAACCCCAACAATATTCTACAAATCTTTTATATAGGGAATGCCGGGTACTGGATCAGAGACAACTATATTGTATGAATGTTATATTGAAATATAAAAAAATAAAAAATCACACCAGTCTATCTGAGCATACCTATGGTACCCGACAAAGAAACCACTATGTTATTCCACAGATGAGTAAAACTGTCCGTCAGCGATCATTTCCTAACATAGCATCCAAGGCGTTCAACTCCATTCCTGACAATATAAAAAAAATAATGAACTTTTCCATTTTCAAGAATAATGTGAAACGCTTCATTCACGAAACACCAAGAGCCAAATGTAAGGAGATTGTTGAATCAAATCTCTCCAACTGACTGTTTTTTTTTTATACTAGTCTTGTTTATACTAGTCTTTTTTCTTGTTGTACACGGCTCTTGAAATCATAACTATTCTTTCGACTTTGAAATTATTGTCATTTTAAGATGATCTTATTTCTATATGTTGTCTTCATTCCATTCACTCATTGAATTATAATATAACCTATTCCCATTTATATTCATATTTTTTTATATATTTTTTATGTGTGCTGCTCATCTTATACTGTATCGATTCTTTGAATACGAAAACTTACTTCCGATGCAGTGAGTAGATAAACACACTTACGTCGAAATAAAGGGTCTAAATATCGTAGGAAAATCATCACAAAGGTTCGTTGGAATAACACAAATGTCACTGATATACACGTTGTTTTCAAGCAGTTCAAGAACATGTTCTCATCTACTTATTTGATATCAATCAATTCTTCTTCACCTAATAACAGACGTTTTCCCTACGTATCTTGAACGTTATTAGTTCACGATTGAACGACGTATCAAGTATACCTAGAATGTTGAATATGTGAATTTCAATCGTCGTAGTGAAAATTATTGCCTGAAAGTATCAACGTTTTGCGTCAACGTTCGATAATGGTTGCAGATCAACATTATGTTATAGACTGATGAAAATGAAGCATCCCAATATCGTTGATTTTTTAACCAAAAATTCAACGTTGAGGTTTTCAACCGGTAACGTTATTTCCACGATTCCAACAATTATTCAACGTTTCATCAATGAATTTTTAATGACAAGGCTGGTTGTTTAATTACCACGGAGACACCATATTTAAGCGCTATGTTCACTTTGGTCACTTTCCTCTGCACCAACTTCAACTCGGGGATGGAATCCTTGCTCTACGTGATTCTGTCCACGAATTTCTGGAGGTAAGGAGAATATTATCTAACTGCTTGACGAATGGAGTAGACTAACTTGATATTCCACCATATTTTGAATTCAAATATTATGAAAAATAGTGGTCCAATCCTAGAACAGTGTTCGAATCCATATATTAATCTGCACATGGAGTTTATGTTTTTTGATCTACAGGAAGAAACATAGACCCATTTCAAGTAGTAAAATTTCCGAAGGTATTCCAATTATATGGAAATATTTCCAGAATTCTGTCTAGAGCATATTATGATTGCTTGATGTCGCTCGCCGAATTGGTCTCGAAATTTTATTGTTAGCAAACATCATTATTGCACCATTTTCTTTCTGTGAATTTGTTGTCTTTATTGCGGTCTGCAATTTGCCATCCCACGAACGCGAATAATGTGGCGATACTGGTCGTTCAATTACCACGGAGACACCAATTTCAGCGCCCTGCCCACCCCGCTCACTTTCTTCTGCACCTACTTCAACTCAGAGGTCAAGAGGTAAGGGGGTAAGGAGAAAATTATCTACTTATCAGTTTCTAATCAGCTCTAGATACAAAAACTTGTATCCTCTTCATTCTTCCTCAACGGATAAAAGGTAAATACGAAGCGTCGTCATCGTTTACGAGTTTGCGTTTGTTTACTTTTTTTCCACGTGCGCAGAATGTGGCAATACTTCTAGTAAAAGCTATTCATATATGAATATGTGATTACTGGGCTAGCTGTCCAATAACCACGGAGACCAATTCAAGCGCCATGTTCACTACGGTAACTTTCCTCTGCACCTACTTCAACTTGGAAGTCAATCCACTGCTCTACGCGTTACTATCCAGAAATTTCAGGAGGTGAGTAAAACATTATCTAACTGCTTGACGAATGGAGTGGTCCAACTGGATATTCCACCATAATTCGAAATCTAATATTATGAACAATAGTGGAACAGTGTTCAAACTCGTGTGAAATGAACTTCATGTTTTCTGATCTACAGGAAGAAACATAGACCCATTTCAAGAAGTGAAATTCTCGAAGTAATCCCAAT